GGTCTCCCCACAGCATCACCAACATAATGGATCCACAATGCAGGAAAAGATAAGCTTTGCCATATCATTTTTCTTAGGTTAAAAAGTAGAGAAACCACATGGAGATTGTAATTAGTCAGAGAAATGCAAATGAAGTAACCTGGATTGAGACCTTCACTTGATGAAATTATTGAGACGTCCAGTTTTGGAGCCCACAGCTATCTGTTTACTTATTCTTCCAGCGTTCAATATTGTACTCATTGGTAAAGATTAACTGCTAATGGTAGAAACTGAGTTTCAATTTCCAGTTGAAAAGAGTAGTCAATAAGTAAGGGATAAAATGACACTTTTTCCCAATATTGTATCTTGACACTTTTTCCCAATAATTAAAACCTCTTGAAAACCTATTTGAGAAGGCAAAAAGGGATAAAATGACAAATATAACTCAAAATTAGGAGGTTCTTGAGGAGTTAAATATTGGGAAAAAATTAGTAAAATTGAATTTCGGATAGAATATCAATTTCTTTTTAGACTTTTTCGGTTATTTGGTATAGGGTTAGTAGAATCATATCTAAGAAGTAGATTAATTTCATTAATTTAATTTTAACTTGCTAAATCATTTCCAAGAGCAAGTCCATAAACATTTCACTGAAGACGGTAGACTGTGTCAACATTTATTTGCATTAATTTCGATCGAGTAACAAACTAACAAAGTAAGAAAAATGTCATTGGCAGGTCATGCTCACATTCTTCTCAGTGAACCTGACTAAAACCTTTCATCTTTTAAGGGTTGTTTACTTGAATTTTTTTTCCTGTTTTCTCCATTTGATCGTAAAACCTGTTCTCACAAGAAAATCCAAAAGAAGATAAGTCCTTACGTACTACAATTCATATAATCTTTGGCCAATTACTGCATCTTTTTAATTTTTTCCATCCATCTCATGAACCAGGTCTAAGTTCCACACGGTCAATTCATTATTCTTCTCCCTTGTTCTGCTTAACTATTTGTACCCCAATACCCAACCTTCTAAAGATTATCTTCACTTTTTATCTTACCTTCTCTTTTATGACCAAATATTAATGTAAACATTCTGATTTCAGCTAAGTCGTCCAGTGATTAAGCTCTCTCAAATCATACTAAATGGAGCCTAATTTGATAATTTTATATAACAAATGAATAAAAAAAATTTTATTTAAACAAAATATTCAAAAATTACTTTATTTAGAACAAAAATTAATTGTCATATATTTTTGGCCCCTCATAGTAATTGACATTGCAAGTGTTATGTTGCCATTCAAAGCAAACAGTTTCAGCTTTCCAAAAGACCTCCTTATTGCTGCCTAATTTGACCCGTTAATTAATTGATTCACCTCCCCTAGAAAATTTTGTTATGGCCACTGAGGTCATATAGAAAAAGACCAATGGGTTGACTTGAATTGGCCATAAACGTTGACAATAATGTCGTGCCATCGACTTGGAAAAAAATTGAGGTGTACATAGCGAGCACCACAACTTCTACATTTCAAAAGCATCTTGTGTGGAATGTGTGGTCTTCTTGAGGATAACAACGGACCACCTCTTGGATGAACCATGACTCTATACATTTTGAAAGCATTGTGTGTGGAATGTGTGACCTTCTTGAGGGTAACAACAGGCCACCTCTTGGATGGACTATGGCTCTAGCATTTGGCGAGACCAAAACAACCCAAAGTTAACCCATTAACTACCTAAAATCCAGCTTCTGTTAATTAATAAGAATTTGAAATAATGATAAATAGACCAAGATTTTAGTATTAATGACATAACATAAGTTACATTATTTAATATTAATTTAATGTTATTTAATAATTGATTTTTTTACTTTATTGAGAGCTATGATATTATATGTATCAACTTAATTAATTTTTACCCAAATTAAAATATTTGAGGATGAAGTGAGTAATTTTGAGATACATAACATGCATAAATGAAAAGATAAGCACTAATGATTATATTAAATAAAGTCTTCCAATAATGGTAAACTAATAAAATGAGCCAAATAAATTAAATTCAAAAGAATTTAAACATCAATTCAAAATTAAGTAATAATAAATAAAGTAGTGAATACTCTATTTAGAATATGTTGCATATCAATTCCAACTTCCAAAAAAGTTAGAGTTCTAACCAAGAAATGTTCTGCTTTCCTCAAGTTGATTATGAGTTCAAACAAACTTTCTTCTACGTACTTTCCACACGGTTAATAAATACTTTCTTCATAAAAGAAAAAAATATAATCTATCAATTGGTGAAATGTTTCACTTTCTTCCCTACACTTTACCCACGTTGATTATGGTTTCACACAAACTTTCTTTTCTAAACTTTCCTCATGTTGATTATGGTTTTTCACAAACTTTCATTTCTGCTACACTTTCCACACATTAATATATGGTCCAATATTCCAAAAAACCTTAACTTATTCCATGTCCTCCATTTGAAGAATTCTTCATTGCATTAATGGGATGCTACATCAGTAGTATTCTAACCAATAAAAGGCTTACACATCATAAGTTTCCCTTTCTGCCACATTCATTAGAGGTTTCTCATGTTAGTTCTTGTAAATTATGGTCTCCACAAAAGATTGGATTATAACAGCTAAATTAAATAGGGTCAGAACTGTTAACTTTTTTTGTTTTTTTATGAGTTGTATTTCATTCAGCCCTTTTTATTGCCCAAACCTTAATTTGTGTAGTGTGTCTTCTCGTTTGTTTTACCATGCCCACTAATAAATTTTAAACAAGGATAAGAAAAATAAAAGAAGTTATTGTAGCACACGTTGTTACCTAAAAATTTTGTTTTTGATGATCTCTTTAAAAACCTATTTTCTAATTAATATTTTAAAAAAAATTAGTTTAAAAGTTTTACTTATATAAATCATGTATATCATTTAATGGTATTAAATCCTATGAAATTAATGAATTATTTAGGTCTATTAGATCAATCTAAAAGTTGACATGTACTTATGATCAATATAAATAAAATTTTCATTCCAAAAGTTGGCTTTTGAAAGTATTAATTAAAAAAATGAATTTTTAGATATATTCTCTAAGAAAATTGAGCAGCACCACTTGCAAAACAATTTTCGCAAAATAAAATGTGAAGTAAAAGCACGAAGAATAAGAGATATTTTTACTACTACATAGTTGAGAAACATAAGTGGTGATTTAGATCAAAATAGAAAAGCTCTAAAAGTTATAAATATATTTTTACCAGTAAAAATTATTTTCTTTTTATTAATAAGAGTATAAACAATACTCCAACACTTTACAAAATAAACAACTTAAGGCAAATAAAAACTAAGAAGAGGCCAATAACTTAAATAGGTTAGTGGTAATTCTTTTGTTGAAAATAAAAAGCTCTAAATCACATGGTTTTTAGATAGAATAATTTAAGAAAAGAGAGGAAGTTATTTTTTTATCATGCAATTCAATTTTTCTTTTTTTTAAAGAGCTCACAAGACAAATGCAAAGTTCAAAAGTACTACAACTTAGTGGACAAATGGAAACTTCAATCTTCATGTCATGTATTTAACATTGAGGGACCCTTCATCTCCTCATACGATGCGAACTGTTGGAAATTTGAAATTTCATATTCGAATGTAATATATTCTTTTTCAAATTAAGTTTTCTTTAAAATTTGATAAGTCATTAAAAAACGAAAGATTTTGAAGGAATATTCTTTTAATCACTAAGATATACTAGAGTTATTTTAAATAACTTCTGTTTTTTTTTTTTTTTTCAAACTAAATATACTCTACAAAAGTACTTTCTTAATTGAAATTGTCAGGAATCTCGTATTAGTGGACAAATGGACACTTCAATCTTTAAATCATATATTTAATATTAGGGACCCCATTTCTTCGTATCATGTGGGTGTTGGAAACTTGGAATTCATATTTGAATGTAATGTATTCTTTTTTTCAAATTAAGTTATCTTTAAAAATTGATAAGCCGTAAAAACAAATTAAAAGATTATAAAGGAATATTCTTTTAATCACTAGAATGTACTTGAATTTGAATAACCTCTCATTTCCTTGTTTTTCCTCTTTCTTTTTTTTTTTTTTCAAACTGAACATTCTTTAAAGGTGCTTTTTGAAACTACTATATGTTCTAAAGAAATTATCAGGGGTTCACATATCAGTAGACAAATGGATACTTTAGTCCACAAATCACTTATTTAATATATTTTCATACTAAACATAATCTAAGGGTAATTTCAATTAAGGGTACTTTTTGAAACTACTGTATAATGTTGTGGCTGTGAAGAGATTATGACGATTTTCATTTTAGTTGACAAATGGACAGTTCAATCTTCAAATCATGTACTTAATATTAGGGACTTATCCCCTCATAAATATGGATTGTTGGAAACTTGGAATTTCATATTCAACTGTAATGTATTCTTATATATATATATATATATATATATAAGAGTTAGTTATTTGATATTATAGAAGTTTGAATCCCTTACCTTAACTTAAGTAAAATTTTTAAATTAGCAAATACCAATTCAACTAAATTCTTATCTGTGAATGTAATGTGTATTCTTTTCTCAAATTAAGTTGTCTTTAAAATTTAATAAGCCATTGGAAAAAATATTGACAGATTATGAAGGAAGATTCTTTTAATCAATAGGATGGTTATTCTCATTTAAAAAAAAAAAAAAAAAAAAACTAAACATACTCTAAGGGTACTTTTTAAAATTATTGTATGATGTCCTGCTCATTAAGAAATTATCAAGTTCTCATATTAGTAGACAAAATGGACACCTTCAATCTTCAAAATTGTATATTTAATATTGGAGGATCCCGTCCCCTTATATGATGTGGATTGTTGAAACAAAAATAATTTGTACACTTTTTAATTCAACATATTTATCAATTCTTATTGATTTACCAATTAAAATTTATAATTGAAAATTTTCTCATTTTGAATTTAAATTTGAAAATAATAATTTCTTAATAAATAAATTAAAACATATATTAAACTAAAATATATACTAATTATTATCTTTATTAGAAATTTGGAATTTTACATTTGAATGTAATGTTTTCTATTCTCTAATTAAGTTCTCTATATATTGATAAGTCATTAAAAGGAAATTAAAAGATTCTAGAGAAATATTCTTTTAATCACCAGTAAGTACTTGAATTTGAATAACCTCTCATTTTTTTTGTTTTTTCTTTTTTTTTTCCAAACTAAATATACTTTAACTATGCATTTTAAAATTACTGTATATTGTTGTGCAGTATATTTTATCAGTCAAAATTTTAAAAACTTTTATTAAAAATTTATAAAAAAAAAACCAAAATAGTACTATTCTTATTTTAAAAATATATTATTTTAATTTTAAAAAAAAATTTAATAGAACTCATACTTTCATAATATTTCTTTTCTCGTAACTTTTGATTGATGAACACTTCTCTCAAAATATAATATAATATGGAGTATTAAAGTTTGTCTTGAAACTTTCTTTTATCGATATAAGACACCATATAATAAAATCTATAAAACAAATAAGGTGAGTATTTAGCTCTAAGCCTTTCTCCCCTCTCCTACTCCTATTACTATTGTGTAGGCATAATAAAGCAAATTAAACGTTAAGCTAGGCTGTTTTGGTTAATGCAACTTTCTTAATTTCTCTTATAGGTATTCTGCAGTGTAGAATAGAAGATTAGTTGTAACTTCCATATCAAAGGATAAAACCTATAACATATGCAAAGTAGCGAATCATTGGTATGGTTTACTCAACCCTGAATAAAATCGAAGGCATATAACTAATAACACCGATTTTCTCCCACAAGACCAAAGAGTTGCCACCATATGACAAAAGGAACAAAAAAAAAGAAAAAAATATATCAATCATGTTTATTTACTAGGACAAATTCCCTATTTACACCCTACACATTTTTTTTTCTTTACAATCAACACTATAATTTTCATTTCTAATAAGTATTCTGTATAATTTGAAATCCGTTAAAAAATCCTAAATTACCAATAAAGTTAAGGGTTAAATAGGAGATTTGACTATTAATTTTTGAGTTTTAATTTTACATCTTTCAAATTATGGAGGTATTAACCGAAAATAAAAATTCTTGAAGGAATTGACCATAAAAAAATTAATATGCATGAATTGACCATAAAAAAATTAATATGCATGATGCAAATATGGAGTTTAGCCTATTTAAATATCAAAACAAAATGTTCAAAGCATCTCCTGTTAGGGGAAATAGATTGTGTGTTGGCCTAAGAAGATATTGCTTCATGGAAAGAAGACATCAGGCTAATGGTAATCTAATAAAAGGATGCAGTAGCTATACTAGTAGTGCCGATTTCCATAGTAAAACTGTCAGTCAACAAATCCAATGGGTGACAGATTTTCTTATTATATTTAAAAAAATTGATTTCAATCTATAGATTTTTTTCTCCAACATAAATAAATTCTTTGTAGGTTCAAAGTAAGAGAAACTTTAACCAGACAACCTCTGTTGAATAGCATCTCCAAGAAAAAGCAGCTTGCGTCATGATATCCCTGAAAGAGTAAGTGAAATCCCTTATTCAGTTAAGAGAACCCCATCTTTTACAGATATTCAAAATGATTGGGACTGAAACAAACCTTCTGCAGTAGCACCATTACAAGTGCCAGAGTGTCTAAGAGCAAATATGCAACCAAGTGAACTGGTTACGGCAACCAATGCCATACCACTCAGTGAGATGGTGAGTTTTTCCCATTTCTGTGGTGATCTTTCAAAAACGTCAAAGGAGAAGCTGTGATGAAATCAATAAAACATTCAAGAGGCTCTCAAAAAGAGAAAAAAAGAATAATTAAGACAACTAAAAGAAGAGTGCTAATCCCATATAGGCTATAAATGGAACATAAAATTCAAAATGCAATAGCATCCAAGATGAAAAGACGGTGACACACAATATCACCTCGGACATTCTAACAGGAAATGAAGCTAGCAGAACAATGAGAAATACCATGAATAGAACTTAGCCATACAATTGTCAGTAACTTGGGGTCGCTTACAAATTCAAGTGCTTGACCACATTGAAACAGTTTCTGGGTGCTAAACAAATAGAACTTACAGTAAATTGAGGTTGTTACACTTCTGACATTGTCTAAATTTTCTTAATGGAACAGTTATTCTTGATAAATGAATTGCCTTCACTCAAATTTATCCTAACTTTCAAATTTCAGTTAGTAGTTGGTTCACTCCATCATATCATTTTAGAAGAAGCAATAGGAAAACACATTGCGTATATAAGTTTTGACAAAATGACTCCCAGCAAGGACCTGCACCTAATCTTCTGAAAATCTAACAAGATGAGACTAAATTTAGTTAATGAGTTCTTTGCTGGTAAAGATAGTAGTCAATGAGACACCACCATAATGGAAAATGACTAAATGACAATGGAAGATCCACAAAAGAATCAATAATTGTCACAATCTATTATGAAATGAGCTGCACATCATTTTGCAAACTGACCTAGAAGGCTGAGTGCTGAGATTACTGCATCAGCTCCAATAGTGACTGTCAACATTAACTGCCCAACAATAAAAGCAAGCTGGATTCAAATAACAGAATAACTTCAGAAAGTTTCCATTATTCATTAGTTAAGAAAGAGCAAGCAGCATTACATGAACCACAAACAAGTAGGAAGAAATGCAAAATGAAACAAGGGAAAGAAATCTTTTATATGTTTAAACTGTTTTGTTTCAGATATTCTGATCTCATTAGGAACAAACATTTTATTTCAATCTTCGCAAGCAGAAAACAATTATCTGATTTTTGAGTTTACACAATACACAACATAACATCCAGTTAGGTAATTAAGCAAAAATCATTCATTTATCCAACACTTATTCACCCACTAAGTAATTCATATTTTCTATATTTTTGGTAACCCTACATATACACATAA